CCATCCATCATCCATCCATCATCCATCCATCATCCATCCTTCCTTCCTCTCATCCACCTGGCTAGCATTTTGAGACTGCCGTGCCTAAGATCCCCTCCATTGCTAACATTCTAGGATTTTGAATGTTATATAACTTCTGTACAGAGACAACTCTATACATTCAGGCTAAGTATCTGATACAGGCATCCTGAATCACTCATGTCTCAATGGCTGTTAAATTTCCAGGGCTCGACAACAACATAGGTGTTCCATAAATGTGTTGAATGAACAAATAATCCCTAGAAGCTGAGGAAGATTGACTTAGATATAGGTATACTGGAAAACAAATCCCCCTGCCTTCAATTTTTAAAAAATTATTTATTTCCTTCGACTGTTACAGGTAATTATCAGATTTTTATCATCACGAACAACACAATGAGCACTTGCTGGCCTGTGTAGGACAGCTGGGACCTAGCGGCAGACTGCAGTCCGGCAGGGACGTGGTCCTAGGCTGTGTGGCCTGAGACCCTGACAGTGGGACCCACCTGTCCCGTCCAGGCGGCGTGACAGCAGCATGCTCTCGGCTTTTGACTGTTAACTTCCAACTCTGGCATTCCCTTCCTTCTCCAATACCTTCCAGTCCTTTTCCTGATTTTTACTTTTCATCTACTTATGTATATCACCCTCTTTCCCCCTATGTTCCAATCCTATAACCTGAAAACATAGAAAGTAACTGGGTGAAATGATCTCAATTAGAGACAATATCCTAAACATTTCCACATTTTCCACATTAAGACCAAACTGGATATCAACTGTGATGTTATCCTTGTTTCATTTAAATGAATAAAATCGGCTTAAATGACAATAACTTTTGACAATATGAATATCCATGTTTGCTTTAAAGTCTTTATTATCCTGAATATAAAAGACAGAAGTCCTTTAGGATATAACAGAGTTCTTTATGTGGAAACATTATTTTTTTACAAGTGAAAAAATAAATACCTCTTGGAATAAAGGCTTATATGCTAATATGTGCCATAAAAAAGTAGAGTTTTAATATCTGACAAAATGTCTGTGCAAAGAAACAAATGCATAAACACATTACTGCTACATTAAGGCAATATGAAAAGTATACTCAGAAATCTCAGTAAAGTGACAGTGTAGGTTTCTAGCTTTACCTTAGCTAGTATTGCACCCGATAAGGTCATCCAGGTTCCCTGACATCCCAGAAAACCTGCCAGCTGACCAGCTTCCAAAATGCCCAAGTGGGAGTGGAAAACGTGTTTTAAGAAGACCAAAACAAACAGAACCAAAACCCCCTGAAACACACAGAGGAGACAATCCAAAGTTAATACCTAAGCGCTGATTTAAAGAAACACACACAAAAAGCAGAGACAGAAGGGATATGACATCTAGATACATGTACGATAAGGCTATGAAAGGCTGGATCGTTCAAGCAAAGCGACACTGATGGGTGAGACTGGAGTCGAGTGCTTGGGAAAAATGACAAACCACTGTCATTTACACACGTGAGGCTTCATCTCTCCGTGAGCTCTGCTCCCCGAGAACGCTCGCCCTTCTTAGTCTGAAATATAATATCCTACTAACCTAAAGGTCCTGAGGAGTGCTTGACGACTCCACAGAAATCTTATAACCAAACTGTTAGCATTTTATAATTGAAAGGCTTTGGGGGTGGGATGGAGGGAGCAAAAACCCAGGAGGCCACCCACACTGAGGGATCTGCTTTCTCCTAGCCAGACGGGTTTCAATCTGACAACATTATTGTCAACTTTTAAAAAGTCACAGAATTGAATTTTGAATCTGTTGGCCTTCCAATCATTCTGGAACAAGTTTTATAAACAGAAATGACATTAAAATGACAACTCTTTAAGAAAAATTTTCCTATTAAAAATGTTCGGAGCTCCATGACTATACAAAATGAACCAGGTTTAAGTTCTTAAAACTAATTGTTACAAAATCTGCTGCAGGTAGGAAATTTACCTTGGGATTCATTAAGGAGACTTACAACATCGTTTCCTAAAAGGTACCCAACTTTCCTGCCACTTAACTGACATTGAAGATTTTACCTATTCCTTTACTTGATCATAAAAAAAAATGAAAGTCCCAGGAACGTGTCTGTGTCCCAGAGCTCTATCCAGGCCCACCAATGGCGTCGATTCTACACATGGATATGTTTTTGCAGTGAGGAGCAGCTGTGTTCTTATCTCCTTCTTCTTTTATGGCAGATGGGTACAGAAGTAAATTACTTTCTCCATGATCTGATCCTTTGTGTAGTTTATAATAGTGCAGTTCATGGAAACACAGAAGTCCAATCAGTGCGCAACAGACTAGATTACAGTTAGATTCAGCAGACTGGTGTGAGTCGGCAGATAGACGTGCTGGACGTGCTCCACGCGTGACCTGCAGACTGGACACGACTGCAAGAGAGGAGCCTACAGTTAGAATGAAAGCCTCGGAAGGCCTGGGTCCCTACGGCGTTCATAAGTTGTGATCAAAATGACTCCGAGCTTCTAACTGGTAGAGAGCTTTGTGTTCCCGTGAGTTTGAAAGTTTATACTTTACAAGGGCTTAAAAATAAATACTATGAAAACGTTATAAACTGAAGAAAATTAAATAGGTTGTGCGTCTCAACAAGACATACCCAGTGGGGCGGCACCTGTGGTTCAAAGGAGTAAGGCGCCAGCCCCATATACCAGAGGTGGCAGTTTCAAACCTGCCCGGCCAAAAAAACTGCAAAAAAAAAAAAAAAAAAAAAGACACACCGAGTGGAGCAATTCCAGAGACTTCTTTCTGTGCAGATTGTGTCCCTACACGAGTACAAGATAACATTTCAGGCAGTAATGCAGGAGACCCTTCCAGAAATTGTGTGTCCTTGGTTCAGTTGACAGGACAACATTAATCGCGCTGCTGCCCACATGGCCAGGGAGCATAGCTCTGTTCCTACCCACAGGCAACAGATCTACATTCCCGGCTGGCCTCTCAGCAAGCACGTGCCCTCTGTCAGCCCTCAGAGGAGACTCAGGCATCCGGGTGAGAGTGTGTGGGCAGAGAAAGACAAGCCTTGACTGCTCCTGGGGAAATAAGCCATAGTAGTTGCCTGGCCCACTCTTAAGAAGGACATGGGTGTCCTGGGAGATCATTATCTAGCCTGAAAAGTAGCTCTGAAATGAGCAGTTTCTCAGGGACTAAGTGCCATCAGACTTAAGGCTAGTTTTACATAAAACCAAAATGACATTTAGCAGACACTCCTGAAATGAAATCAAATTAAAAAAATTACTGTAAGTGGAAATGTAAAGTTCCTTTTCATGCAAAAAGAATGTAAGGAAAAAAAATACATTATTTTTGTTTTATTTTTCTATTAAGATTAGTTACTTCCTAATAAGTAACAGATAATCCCTCTTCCCTTAAGGCATACACAGTAAAAAAAGAAAATGAATCACAAACACTCAGGCATTAAGCCACCCTCCACGGATAACTGAAAGTTAACTGAACTAAAACTTCTAAGTATTCTTTCAAAATATTTTAAAGAGATAATAAAGACCATCCTAAGTATCAGAAAGTGGGAGGTGACATGAGATGGAAGAGGCAGCCCTGGGCCGCGTTGTGGGAGGTCTGGGTTCTAGTCTTTGGTCTTACTAACTGGATGTTACCTCATGGATCTGAGCCTCGGTTCCACAACTTGAAAAAACAAAACGAAACTATGATTTTGAGTAATTATGCTATTGAATAGGTAACAGTATGCTAATCTATTATGTCTCCAAAGGACAATGCCCTTTTAGGTCACCAAATAACCATTCTCTGCAGCCAAAGGGTGCCCTACCTGCAGCTGGGCGGCACAGCTCTCGCAGCACACAGTGTGGCCGCAGGGGCAGAAGGTGGAGTCGATCTCCTCCTCACAGCACACCATGCACAGCATGGCCTCCTTCAGCTTGCGCAGCTTCTCCTGCAGCGCCCTGGTCTGCTGGCAGCTGAGGCCCTCGCAGCTGCTGCAGTTCATGCTGCTGTCTGAGGACTTCAGCGGTGAGGTTGGCGGGCTCTGGTTGCTTCTGGAAACAAGGTCCACAACGCCGGCATTGTACAGAGCCCTCCTGGCATGATCGTAAACCTCCTTTGATGTTCTTTTAATATCGAAGACATACTTCTTGCCAAGGTTAATATTCTCATTCAGAAATAGAGACGCCAAATGGCCCTTCAAGTCGCGACTATACTGCATCATGACAGCGCTGGTCACCGTGTCACATCTGCAAGGCAAAGATCGAACATCTACTTTAACACCAAAGTGCCTGGGCAGCTCTGTAATTCACCGCTGTCAGTAAGGACGGTCAGGTCAGCAGACATGTGCTAGTGCTCTTTGCCTGTGTGAAAGTAAGTTCTTCCAGTATGTGTTAAATATCTCAATGGTTCCACTTCAGTGTTTCTCAAACATCTGCACAACAGCTCTGATAAAGCAGCCCTAAGGACAGAAGACAGTGAACATACCTCCTTCTCTAGGAAGCGAGCTACAGTCCAAAGCAGCTTAAGAAGACAGAGGACATTTTTCTTGGATGTTTTGGCTTCTATCTTAAAAATGTCTACAAAATGTTCCATTCTATTCACAATTTGTGCGTCTATTTTAATATCAAAAAGTGATAAGCTGCCTACCAATGAAATTTCTTGGCTTTAATTTTTCAAAAACTGGAGTCTAATAACAACTTGGCTTTAAAGTACCCTCTGAAATGAGGGGATTGATATTGCTATTAAAAGATCCCTGCATATGTGGTGAGGATTCAGGATAGCAGCTCTCCCAGAAAGAAAAGACAATCTATGTCATCCTCCTGCCGGAAAGGGGCAAAGCAGCAGGCGACAGCCAGACCTGGCAGGGTTGTCTCAAGGAGGAGTCATACAAGGAGTCAGAGTTAAGCCGGGGGTGGGGTGGGGGGTGCGCAGCCCACACGCACACACATTCCGAAGCAGGGCCACCGCCCAGACAGAACGCTCAGAAGCAGCCCTTGCTTATATTCTGTACCAGACTCACTGACACACAATGCAGGAAACTGCGGAACCCTGGTTGTCACCTAGAAATCTCCGAGCTGAGCTGCAGGTTTACCGTCAAGGCAATACATGCCTGTAGAAAGCGTGCGTCTCAGTTATCGCTCGGTAGAGTCCGCTGGCTGCCCTGGTGCTGATCATTTTAAACAAGAGCACGATGCTGTTCCCAGACTCCTTGGTGACCGTCAAGTACACATTCTTTCCTGACTGCGTGGCCATCTGCACCACAGGATAAGCTATCCTAAGAGACGGGAAGAGAAATGTGAGCGTACCCCAAGGAGCGACTCGTCACATTGTCTGTGCCTTTTAGGATCCCACTTGCTCATGACCTAGCAGAAAAAACAGACTGCTCATCTGGGGCTATCGCATCACCAGGCTGCTCCCTAGTGACAAAGGCACATTGAAAAGCTGTTGTGCATAAGTGGAGGGCAGTTTGGGGATGGGGGAGGGGGATGTGGGGGGGGTGTGTTTGTCCACATAGAGGTAAAAATGAGGTTTTTATGACCATGAATGACTAATGTGAAAAATATTAACTGTCTCACGGTAAGCTTTGAATTAGCATTTACTAAATAATTAAATGGTTATTAAGACCTGAATGAAACTTTTTACTCCTAAGAGACGACTGGCTAGTAAATCCCTCTCTCTTTTCTATTTTCATGTTGAGAGCTACAGATTTTATATATATATGTGTGTGTATATATATATTATACACACACACATATATATATAATACAATATGGTCTTACATTTTTTAAACCATATATATATATATGTAAGACCTGGCTTACCTGTTAATTGGGCTAAAGTCATCTTTACAAATTGAGATTCCTTCGGGTCCAACCCCAATGAGGAGCTTCTGCCCTTCGCTGTCCCTCACCGAGTGCCACTCAATGCCGTAGTTTTCCATTGCGGACACAATCTGCAGGACCTGGTATTCAGCCGAAGCCTGGCTGGTCCCCTCCAGCTCCTTATGCTTTGCAACAATGCTATAGGACACCAAAAGGACAGAGAGTGGTACAGAGATTAACTCACGCAGTCGTTAGAAGTAAATCCATATAATTTTAACTGGCAAAGTATACAGACACTATCCTTTATGAATCATAAGAACTTAAAACTATTATCTGATTGATGTTTCGTTTATTTAGCAAACTTACCATAAAATAATTCTAAGACACTGTTCAGGACCTTGACTATTAAATATTCAGTAGAGGCTCGGCGCCTATAGCTCAACCGGCTAAGGCGCCAGCCACGTACACCTAAGGTGGCGGGTTCAAATCCCCAGCCCGGACCCACCAAACAACAATGACGGCTACAACCAAAAAATAGCCTGGCGTTGTAGCGGGCGCCTGTGGTCCCAGCTACTTAGGAGGCGGAGGCAGGAGACTCGCTTGAGCCCAGGAGTTGGAGGTTGCTGTGAGCTGTAATGCCACGGCACTCTACCCAGGGGGACAGCTTGAGGCTCTGTCTCAAAAAAAAAAAAATAAATAAATAAATAAATAAATATTCAGTAGAAAAAACTTTGATGGAGATGAATTGGAAGAATTATGGAAAATCTCTAAAAAGATACATAAGAAAAATTTCCATGTTCATGAATTTCTTCTGAGAAATTCTCACTCACTTCTGAGATGAAATTATGAAAAGACATGATTCCTATTTTGAGTGTTCTCTCTTGCTCTAACTTGTATCACTCACCCTGGGGGAAACCAGCTACAGTGTCATGAAACAGCCTTGCCTGAAGGGCTGGCCAGGAAACAGGCTGGCCACAGGACCACACGGGTCGGCCTGGAATTGGATCCACCCTCAGTGGAAGCTTCAGATGAGATTGAGCTCTACCAGTAAATAGCTTGACTACAGTCTCCGGAGCCTGAGGACCCAGCTAAGTCACAGCCAGATTCCTGACCCACAGAACCATGAGTCAGTGTTTGTTGCTTTAAGCCCCTAAGTTTCAGGGTGACAGTATGTGGGATAGATAATAAAGACACCTATGTTAGCCATAGTTTAATTCTTGCTGGGTTGAAGAAAACATCAATATACATGACTGACTGTTTTCTTAAAAGGTCACGGTTTTTTTAAGATTCTTACCATATAGCATCTCATCTGGGCATTGATTTGTGTGGATTGTTTCATGTTTATGAAGTTTCTCAAACAAAAGGTTAACGAATCCTTTTGAAAATAACTGGTTAAACTGGGCAATGCTCAGTCTTAACCTCACAAATTTCCTGCACATACTACAGATTCATTTTCTTCTGGAAATATCTATACATTAGACAGCGCTAGGAACACAGCCTCACCTGTTCAAAGTGGTGCTGCAGAGCTCCTTGGCACACAGCTCCTCGTAGTTATACTTGGCAGTGTTCTGGTTGTAGTCTCCAAACTTGGTCTGGGCAAGGAGGGCGCTGAGTTCCACTGCCTGCTCTGGGGAACACAGGAGGTGGCCTGCCAAGAGGGCCTCCTTGATGTGCAAGAAAAAGATATGCCTGCAAAGCAATGTGAAAATGAGGTTGTGTGTGGGGATATCCAAGTATCAGACCAACTTACTGAGCAATTTCACAATCACTGTTAAGTAAAAAAAAAAAAAGGCACTTTAAAAAGTCGCACTGAAGGGGCGGCACCTGTGGCTCAAAGGAGTAGGGCGCTGCAGGTGGCAGGTTTAAACCCAGCCTGGGCCAAAAACTGAAAAAAAAAAAAAAAAAAAAAAGTCACACTGAAAATGCTTAACATGAAAGAACACGTTTTTATCATTAGGATTAAGACAAAATAAAAATAAGGACTTACTTTCTCTGGAATAAAAACTGTAACCCAAACAACACAAATTTTTTTTGGAGACAGAGCCTCAAGCTGTCCCCCTGGGTAGAGTGCTATGGCATCACAGCTCACAGCAACCTCCAACTCCTGGGCTCAAGCGAGTCTCC